TATATTGTTTATGAGATGGGATTCGAAATTTCCATCTAATTTTTCTTTCATAATGGAATTCCTTTGGTTTTTTTGTACATCTAGAAACCACATGTATAATTTTCTGGGGGGTTTCTTGAAGCAAGCATTGCAATAGATGCTTCTGATACATTTGGTCCATTTTTCAGAGACTATTTCCTTTGATTCCGTGGGGTCAGTTCTGAACAGTGATTAGGAAGGCCAGGAACCAGGGAAATTAAAACCATCTCCTGAGTAGATGGGGTTTTGTCTGATATAATTCTTCAAGCAAACTGGTCGTTGGTTGTGGTTTGGCTTTATTTTTTTTCTTTTTAAATAAACAAACTTGTAAACAAACTTCCTGAAAATGGAGCTCAGTTTCTACTCACTGTTTAAGTTGGGAAGATGCCTGTTTGGATCAACTGCACAGCACATGGCAAGTCTTCACTGGCTGGAGTTCTACTCCACCCTAGATTTCAAAATAAAATCTTTTCTCCCTATATATAAAGGTGGTGCCCATTTTTAAAACAAGCTGCAGTTGTCAACATTAGGGAAGCAAGCAGAAAGGGACCAAGTTAAAGTCAGGAGCAGAGCTTGCCACCCTGAACCTGTTAACTGCTGGCTCCGGAGAACCCCTTCATGATTCCATGACTTGTCTTCTCATCGGGGTCAAAAAGGGCTGGACTCACCACGCAGAGCTGTACCCTTCTCCCTGTGTGTGGTCTGGGAACAGATTCCCAAGCCAGTGTCAGGGAAAGGGGGCCCCACGTGGTCAAGGGCACAATCCTCGTAAAGGATGAGTGAGGCAGTCACGTGCAAGAGCTGGAGAGAGCAAGAAAGAGCTGGGTTCAAAGCAAAGTGGTGCCACTCTCTAGCTGTGATCATGCACAGTTTAAACCTTTCTGCGTCTGTTACCTCATCTTAAAATGAGATTACTCGTACCTACTTCACAGATTTCTTTGGGGAACTAAATGAAAGAAGGTAGGCAGAAGCTGAGGACAGTGTGACCTCTGGAAGAGGCTCGATAAACAGCAGCTAACATTAATCTTCAAGGATGACCAGTGGGGTGAAGCTGGGGTGATCATGTCATGTATTGTCCATACCAGCATATTTCCAGGTGTGAAAGGAAGGGCTGTATTATAATTCTGTCGGGTCAACTGGCAAACGCTAGGATGCTTCCAGGCACACTGGCGCATGTGTGACTCTCCCAACTCCAGCCCATCACCATTCAAGACCCGGTAAAGAAGTTAGGTAACGATTATATCTTACATATTTTACAACTCGTTATACCTTTTAGAGATCTTTCGTACATCTTTTTAAGCCTTTCATAAACTGTGTGAAAAAATGTAGGTCTGGGTTAATTACCCTTTAATCATGAGCAGACAAAAGTACAGATAAAAGTTTGGGCTTTCCCACAGTGATACAGTGCTGCAGGGGCAGTGGGAACCCCAAACGTACCTCACGCTGCTCCCTACTTCCTACCCTCCCAGCAACGAGACAGGGTCATGTGACTAGTTCTGGCCAATGGACTGTGGACGTGGAATTGGTCTGAGTCACTTCTGGTCTAAGGCACCTAAGAATGGGTGTGTGTTCTCAACTCTTTTTCACATATTGAAGCAACCAGGAAGCCACAGTGTGAGACGTAGGTGTCAAAAGATGGGGGAGGCAGCAAAGCCACACTCATGCAATCCAACTCTGGGTGAGTGAGAAATAAACTTTTATTGCACTAAACCCTGAGATTTGGAGTGTATTTTTACCCTAGTATCCCACAGCCTGCCCTGGCTCAGCTAGCTAGTACAATTAGAACCCGCATCTCCAACTTTCACCAGTTTTCACTCAACAGTATCAAAAGTCCCCACCAGATTGGGAAAATGCTGCCAAGATTAAATGCCATAGCTTACTCATGGCAAATCTTCAATGCTTACTTGATTTAAAACAAAATGCTTTTTTGGTTTAAAACAAAATAGTTCACACCCAGTGCCAAGTAAAAAGAAGAAAGTTCCAAAATGCAGGCTATATTTTAATTTGGTGCTGATTTGTTCCAACATTTACATTAACCTGAGAAGCCTGGATGCCTCATTTTAAAGACAACCCTAATAATTAGATTCCTGAAATGAAATAGCCTCAATGTCATATCTAGCTTTAACTGAAAGTTAAATAGATGAACAGAAAAATCCAACTAGACTATGACCAATTCTCTGTCTCAATCTAGAAAATTCCTCTCTTCCTCTCTTGCTTATTTAAATCCTACTCATCCTTCAATCCTATTTTCTTTATGAGGGAAAAAGTTCCACATCTCAAATTTTTCAAACACTTGTGTCAATCAATTGCCTAGGCCAGAGGATAGCAAATTTTTTTCTGTAAAGGGTCAGAAAGTAAATACATTACGGTTTCTGACGCACCTATTCAACTCTGCCCTTGTAGCGCAAAAGCTGGTATAGACAATCTGGAAATAAATAAACATGACTATGTTCCAGTAAAACTTAATTTAGGGACATTGAAATCTGAATTCTATATCATCTCTACGAGGCAAAATATACTATTCTTCTTTCAATTTTTTCCAGTCATTTTAAAATGTGAAAACCATCTCAGCTTGTCCACCCCAAACAAGCAGTGGGCCGTGCCTGGCTGGCGGGCCGTAGGTGACCCACCCCAGGCTTAGAAGAGTCAGGGCAACAACAGATTAGGCAGTCGCTTCTGTGGGAGGGGAACACAAATACTGTTATTCTAGTTCTTCCACTTCCTGGTGGCTGGTGATCCAGGGCTCTGACTCCAGGAAGGCCTGAGCTCCTGGATCTGCCAGGCCTCAGTTCCAGAAGCACTGGAGCACGCTAAGGCAGGCGGTGTGTGGCCACGCAGACCTGACGCGATGGGTGGGAGCCTCGGCTGGCGACCCTCAGCAGCACCCTCAAGACCCAGGGCAGGAACGCCGCCACTGCTTTATCCAAAAGAGCTATAGGTGTGGGCAGGATTTGCTGGGCCATTGCAAGATGAATCAGCACACTGGGCTCCCATCCCTGACTACGGCCCCAGCTTCAGCCTTGAGGTCCTCCCTGAATTCTGGTTTTCAGAACTCTTGATACACTCTTGGCATCAACGTACAAACTCACGTTCCTGGCTTCCTACCCTTCCATTCCACTTCTCAGCTCAGAATCACCCATTGTGAATCACCAGGTACTGACCTCACACAGCACCTGGCTCATCCCGGGGCCCTGTCAAACCACACCCGCCAGGCAGAGTGTAAAGGGGAGGGGGGCAGGTATGTGAGAATAAACAATCAGGTAGAGAGGCAGAGGCCAGGTACGGGCAAGCCCAGGGAAGCAGAAGGCCAGCCAGGTAGCAGCCAAGCCAGGGCTGGGGCACCACAGACTAGGGTCCCCTGAAGGAAGCCCTCAGCCAAGGTGACTCTGTAACAGAGCAGGTAGCGTGTCCCCAGGGGAACCTTAAGGGACCCAGGCCCCGAGGAGGAGCCTGGCTCTGGCTGGAATAGAGGCCCAGCGTCCTCCAAGCCCTGCGTGGTCCTCACTGGCTAGGCTCATGGCAGGCTCATTCCCGCCTTCCGGGCCAGACCAGGCTGCTTCTCTTCCCTCTTGGTTGAATGATCCACAGTGACCAAGTCCTCCTTCAGTCCTCCCTCTTCCATGAACTCTCTGATTATTACAATCCCAATCCTCAAAGTCTCTTAATTCCCTGAACCAGAGAGCTACCGTAGTGCACGGCTCCGGCCGGAAGCTGAGCACCATCTGCCATATTCTTATGAGTGAGTCGTGGCTCTTTTGCTAAGGTCTGAGCTTCATGAGGATGTATCTTATATTTTTATACATCTTATAGTTTTTTATCCCCATCTGCCCTGAGAACACATAACAGATACTCAATAATACTTATTAAACTCAATTAAAAGGTCCAACATTAGAAAGATTAATACAATTCAAAAGAAATACAGGGGCTTCCCTGGTGGCGCAGTGGTTGAGAGTCCACCTGCCAATGCAGGAGACACGGGTTCGATCCCTGGTCCGGGAGGATCCCACATGCCGCGGAGCAACTAAGCCCGTGCGCCACAACTACTGAGCCTGTGCCCTAGAGCCTTCGAACCACAGCTACTGAAGCCTGCACGCCTAGAGCCCGTGCTCCGCAACAACAGAAGCCACCGCAATGAGAACCTACACACAGCAACAAAGACCCAACACAGCCATAATAAATAAATAAATAAATAAATTTATAAAAAGAAATATAGTATTATGGGAAAGAAAATGACTTAGAGAAACTACGTACGGCAGAGGCTAGTTTCTATACAAAAATTCCCAGCAATGTTCCTGTTGCTTTGTGTCTATGACACACACCAAAATTTTAAATAAATATGTGACTCATTCTCATTATCTTAATGCCTAAATTCATTGTCAGTCTGATCGGCTGTATATATTGATCATTAAGAAGACGCGGGGGCTTCCCTGGTGGCGCAGTGGTTGAGAGTCCGCCTGCCGATGCAGGGGACATGGGTTCGTGCCCCGGTCTGGGAGGATCCCACATGCCGCAAAGCGGCTGTGCCCGTGAGCCATGGCCGCTGAGCCTGAGCGTCCGGAGCCTGTGCTCCGCAACGGGAGAGGCCAC